ACGTTCAGGTGGGAAAAAAGGACGAAGCAGTCTCTCAGTAACCAGTAGGTGAGCGACAATGATGAAAAGCTGAGGAGTTGAGAGGTGTTGGGTAAAACGAAAGCAAACGACGACGATGTCCGAGAAGGGATTGCATTGAATGAAAAGGTAAATCGATAAAGCAAACAATGTAAAACCTGGACAAGCAAGTTCCATTTTGCAGGCCGAAGAGGGGGCTTATCGTAGTTTGTGTCAAAAGGGACTGTGGAACTTCTAAATTCGAGAAACACTTGTTAAGAAGCCAAAAGGTTACGATTTCTTGGAAGAAGGAATGAAATACTGATTGCGGGTTCTGAATGAAAGAAGGGAGGAACCATTTTTAGCGTTGGTTCACCGCTAATGCCACCAGAATGAATGAATGGTGGGTGTGCGGGCGGAGGGAGGGGTAGAGGAGTCTCCCACAGCTACGGGGATCATTCAACCAGCCGACTGCAACTAGCGGGAGGTCGGTCGGTCGGTTGGTCGACCCGCATTGTGCGGGGAAGTATTTCGCAATGCAGTAGTAACAAGTAATGTGGGAAAAAGTCGTATGAGTAAGTATTTTAGTTGAAAAGGGAGGAAATAGATCCTGCAGATCGTGTGGGTTTGAGAAGGGCAGTCACTGGGAACAATATGGGGATCTTTTGATGGTTTCAATGAAAAAATGCAAGAAAAAGGATAGAAATAGGATAGATAGGAATATGACAGTACCAATTACAGATCATTCAATCAAGGTAAACCAACGGCAATTCCATTTGAAACCCTTGGACATATATGATCAGACAGTTGGGAAAAAGTTCCCATTACGATTTTTCTGACAAACTTCGGGAAATCAGCTCTTACTTGTCACTTCAATTACTGCTTTCAGTACTTTCTGAGCAAATGTGACAGGTAAGGCAGTGTGGGAGAGAGTGGGAGAACAGAAAACGGTGATTTGGGAGAGAAAATCGAGAACGACATGATAAGACACTGAATTGGACGCTAATAACATATGAAAAGTTCCTTTTTAGGAAAATCAGAAAATCGATTTTTTTCGGTTAACAAGTTAGAAACATGTTAACTGGGGATGGAGTCGCCCGGACACCTTGGACAAACCGGGAGGTACGAAAATCGATTCCGATAAGACTTACCAAATAAGGAATGCCCTTCACACTCCTTATCAAAAATGATCGTTTTTACCGCTTTTAAACGAATTTTATGAACAATTCAATAAATATGAATTCCTACAAGATAATAACATCGGTTAAGTGGTCCCTTCATTATTTGAACGGCCATTATGACGTCAACAGCTGACTGATTACGTTACACTGGTAGAAAAATGCGTACAGCCCACCTTTTTGTGACGAGGAAAAAATCATGTAGATAGAAAATAAAACATTTCAAAATTTGCACTTGGAAAAGACCGCATGTACGACCTCAACGGGGTGGTTGGAGCCGCGACCTCGACGTAGAAATGAATAATTCAGGGAGGTAACGGAGAGGTAGGATTTGCGCCGACTGCTGGCGGCTGCGTCACGTAGGTGCCATTAGAGCGCGGTAGGCTTCAGATGTTTTGGGTGTAGCGGCCATTTTAGACCTCAGAGCAATCGAAATAGTAATGGTTACTTGTAATTGATCAAAAACCATTGACTGTCTTCGTTAAATAGCTGATGGCCCTAAATATAGTTGGCTTCAAGCTGGTTTTTATGAAGGTAGGGAGTTAGCATTGGTATTACCTTGAGTCGGAGCTATTCATCTGTCGTCTAAAGGGTTCAGCCGGAGGTTTTGTTGTGTACAGGTGGGAGGATAGAGTTCAGCCTTACAGCTGGGTGAGCAACTTACACTTCCTAGGCATTGCTCGGCACCAAAAAGTTTTGACGAGTAAGAGTACTGTGTAAACACCGGTAGCTCCTACTCGTCAGGCCAAGTGTACTCATTCGAGGCAGAAAAAACTGAGGTGAAGCGCCATTTGTAGAACTCAAACATGCGAGTTGGGCGACTTTTTGGATATTTTCAGTTGAACTGATATACCGGAGAAGGCCGAGAAGTAAGGCCTTGCTGCCGAAATGGTCTGGGCAGGGCTACTTTGGTGATACCGTGGATTAAATCTGTAATTACGGCTGTAATTACATGTGTATATGTAACACTCTGGAGAGGGCTTTCAAAGACTTTTTCTGTTTGAAAAGGAGACCTGAGGGGGAGCAGGGTGGCTAGAGGCTAAGCTCTCCTTGAAACCAACAAATCGACGAAGAAGATAAATCTACAGCAGAAAATCGTCTATCGGGTAGGTATCATCTACATCACTCCAAAGGAATTGAACATAGACTTTACTAGCGCCTGCTTGACGAAATCGCTGACCAGAGGGACGACAGGTGATACAGGTGATAGGTGATACTCGCAGGAAAAACAGGATAAGAGGACTAAGTGAGAAAATGCCAACTGTCCATGTACTATGCGATGTCAACCTATTAAAAGACCAGTCGGGTCGTCTTTGAGCGATGGTACCAGCTCTTTTTGTTATGTGCTTCTCGGGTTGTTCATCCACAGGGGTGACGGTAATACTAGGTTGCTGACTATGGGAGTGAAACTATACAAAGGAAGGCTCCCATGGTGGTTAGGGAATGTGCTCGTACAAGTGGCATCACCTAAATTTAATAAAATTGATTGGCTAAAAAATTTATTGGCGTTCAGTTTGTCCCATCACCGCTTATCGCAATCGAAGTCGGGCAAGGTGTCGCGTTTGATGGCCCCGGCATTACGACCCCCACTAAATCATCTTTCAAAGAATGCTTTTCCATCATTCATTCATCTGCTTCAGGAAGCGCTCATTGAAGCGGAGTAAGGGGAAGTGGGTGGAAGAGAGTACAGCTTGTGGAGTAAAGTGCAAAAAAAGAGTGACTCTTGAGGTAGAGTGAGAAGTTCCTTGAGACTTGTTGATTTGCGGTAACATGGGTGGCTAGGGACTCTAGCTTTTTGGTTAACTGTTTGCCCTATCTCCCATGCGGTTGCATGGCTTCACGCAGGTACCAGTACCTTAGTACATATAGATTAACTCTGCGTGAAGCCATAGAACCGGCCTCAAAAAAATCCCCAAATGAGGGCAAAGAGGTCGACCGGTCCACAAAGCGACCTTTCGCATGAGTAAGTGAGTGATTGCCTTCAATGTCGTTCTGGGAACTTCCCTATCTCTCTGCCAGACTGTCTAGCTCTCCGCCTGTTTGTCCACCCTCAGAATGCCCCTTTCATATCAGCAGCGAGTGCGACAAGGGAAATGATAAAACAGGAAACGGTAAACAAATTCAAAGGTAATCTTTACTACGGTACTACAGCTATATACTAACTACTGTAGTAGTTATGATGGTCGTGATTGCGTCCATTCTAGTGCTTTATATGGCACCATTTACAAATCGTACATTCATGTCTATTCCTCAAGAAGTAAGGGACTTAACGATTGGTACGAGTTATGTAGACGTTTAGTATCCGGGCCAAAGATGAGGCTATGTCGTGGCCGCGAGTAAGATGCTGCCCGTGGATCCGATCCCAAGGGGAAGTTCGGATCTACTGGCAGATTCTAATCCAAGGTATCGTACTGTAAGAAATATTCATAGTCTCGCCTATACATATTTTTCTTCTTGCGCGTACTATTTTCTTACTCAATAGTACTTCTATGTATGCCCTGTTTACTCTTTGTTTATTGTTTGCTTTTGTGTCCTCACTGTTGGTAATTATCAAATCGCCATATTTGACAGCAAGTATTGCTTTATTCTCCCGTCTGGTAGCTTCTACCAAACTTCGCTGAAATATGGTAGGAGGAAGGTGCCATCATCTACCTTGCACCTGGGCAACTGATGTACTAGTAATGAAATTCGCTCGTTGGTCTTGATGGACCAGCTAATCGTAGGAGAAGGTATCGGTTCATGTCTGTCGTTACCGTATCAGACTGGGTCGTCCATCGTGTTATGGCGCTTCCTCTTTGATGCAAACATCATGGAAGGCCCTTGCAAGCTTACCCTACCCAGTATTGATGTCACAACGGCAATTCTATTCAATTATATTACGTGACCGAAAAAGGATGGACTTTGATTTTTGGAAGCAAATGACCGTGTACTTCGTCGTCTCGCAATGATCGGCACTGGTTCGATCATTGTCCGATATAGATTTTTGGGAATTTTGCTTGAACATAAAAGTTAGCGTATATTAATTCCATTTTCGGATGCGCGCACCTATTGGACCTCCATTCCTAGGCACAAAGGCCCTTATGCATGGTACCACACAAAATGGCGATGCTCAGGCAACGGGAGACGGGCAGTTGAGTCGATTTTGTGCAATCGATTTGCCGCACGCGGCAGTCACGGACTAGTTGCCCCGTTATAGCAGTTTCAGCGTTTATCATACACTTCGCTTGGTATGCGACTATTATTTTTGGTATTTTTCTAGTGTTGTTCCTTTTGTTTCTGAACTTCCCACTTGCTGCGATGCTCTGCTACATTCCTTCGCGCGCGACGTCGCTCTCGCCGCGAAGCGACAATTTCGATTCAGCTGCACTATCCACCCCACGGTGAACTAGGGACGTTTGGGGACAAGAATCGTGCTCTGCAGTACAAAAACTTCCCACTCAGATTAGATTGCAAAGTTTTGAGACATCAGATGTTATTATGAATTGATTGCAGTACAAATCGGCTTAAGGGGTGTTCTGCCACTTGATGGGAACTGTACTCTTTCATTCAATAATTCTCTAAAATAATATCCAATTTTTCAGTGCATGGTCAAAACCAAAGGTCAGAATATCATTTTATTTGTACGGTTTGTGCACAATGAATGGTTCCACCTTTTCACAACCCTCGCTGAAAAAGATAATGCTACTGTTTCGTGTTCAAACATCTCAACAATATAGGAATACAACGCGTAGAATCCATCGGTCATTGAAGTTCATTACCTCCACCATCCTGGAAAATAATCATTGTCAATATTTGTCACGGTAGAGCCTTATAAAATAGAAACGATTAGTTACTACCTCCAAATCCACCGAATCGAGGAGGAGGTGGTGGTGGTGGTGGTGGTGGAGGAGGACCTTGAATAGAGTGCAATTTGTATTTGAGAGAATTCCCAAGAATATGTTAAAAGGAGACAATCGTAATCACAATCGATCGACATTTAAGTTGCTACAGAATGGCGTGAAAATCCTACCGAATCTACCGAATCTTTCCATTTCCCATCCCCATTGTGCCGACACTGCAATAATGCTGATCAGAAACAACACAAATGATAGCAGTCTCATCCTTGATCTGAAAGTGATTACATCAGGAACAATTGTCTTTGTATCGTCTTTGAAAGCGAAGCCGTCAACGAGAAGGAACTCGGGAGAGATGTCAGTCGAGCATTCTTCTTCGGAGCACTTCATTAGCAGTAACACCATCTTTAAGGAAAAAAACGATAAGTAATAACTGCTAGAAGGGAGTAGAAAGCGTTATACCGAAGGAAATAGAGGATAGCTTAAAATGACAACGCTGTAGGAAAAGACTTCCCAGGGTGACCAGGCCCCATTAAATCACTGGAACAGAGGATGGCATGCATGCCGGTTCTCGCCCTCGACATGCTGAAATTAGGATGGTCCATCTCGTGAGGTCCCCTAAAAGAGGGGAAAAGAGGAGTCCCAGTACGACCAGCAGACCTAGACTTGAGATGGCCAACGACACTAGCATATACCGACCTGGGTCTGTTTGTTAAGACCACATTTTGAGGGACGAGGCCAAGACTTGAAGGTGAATTCCGATGCCTCCCCAATTTGAAACCTGCCCAGCTCGGACAACTGTACTTATTCGAAGGTCAAATGACGAGTGAAGACACTACTGAAATTGAAATCAGCAAGTTTTTTTTTTGATTCTAAGTCGAATATGGGTTATCAAGACGACTAGAGCTACCATGACATGGATGAGCCTAGAGGAGGAGGTAATAAGGAATTGAACGGGGCACAGAGCCAATGCACGATCAGGGCTTATGACAGAACGAACGAAGAGGAACATAAACTAGTCCGACGTGACAGAAGGTTTCCTAGAAATACTGACCAATGAGATTGAACTCAGGTATAGCGCCGACCCCCCTTCCCATTTCATTACCGATGTAAAGTAATAACAAGTGTTTATGACACCACTGATCACAGAAAAGGTACGGAAAATGTGCTTTTTATAAAAGCGCCGGTTATGAGAGAATGTAGATGATTCCGCTTAATATGATACGGATTGCCTCCTGTATGATCGCGGTTTTTGTCCACGGTTTCGCCTTCAGTGAATATTTGATTGACTGGGAATTTCTTCATTCTGGGTTTTCCAATGGTCTTCGACCACAGCTGAGGGAAAAGCCCTTTATATTCCTAACGATACTCCTTGACGGATTGGCCAGAAATCACTCTACGATTCAGAACAACCCGTAAGTCATGGAGAAAATCGGATGGGAGCTGTTAAAGCATGCAATCCTTGCCCTCCTATGAAATATTCGAAAGAAAATTGGAGGTGTTTCAAGTATGACGGAAGGTAAGAATCTCTGAAAGTTCATTCTCATATGGGCTTTGATAGAACATCAGAAACGAAGAAAATAGAGAATTGCGAAACCGTTCTTCATTTGAGAAAACTTGAAGTGGGCCGACAGTTCCACGACACAGATGTCCTTCCTTAAATATGGCAGTAATTAATCGGAAGAAATCACGATCAGTTTAATGTTCTGAAAACCACACGTCCTTTTTGACGAACATGTTGATTCAGAGGCTATGCAGTTAAAAAAGTTATTAAATGAATTCTAGTTCTTGCTGTGGTGCCCAGACAAAATACCAGAAAGCAAAAACAAAGTTTGCCGAGAACTCGAACCGATTACACAGCTGTCTATACAGTAACAGAAAGGACTTCAATTCATTTGTTTTACCTGTGGGACGGTCAAGTCGTGCGTCCGAGGGTGCGCGCGGCAAATTGCGCGGCGAAATCCATACCTATTCTGACGACTTTAGCGCCTATTTTTTGGGCCCAATTTCGAAGTACAGTAGAATAGTAGGNCTTACTTCAGGTTTGGGCCCCAATGATAGGCGCCGGAGTCGTCCAAATTCGCCACGAACTTCGCCGCGCAATTGCCGCGCGCACCCTCGAACGCACGACTTGACACACACCCTTTTACCTACCTACTCAAAGACGAGAAGCGGACAGTCAAATCGATTTTGTTTAATCGATTCGTCGCTCGCGGCAGTCGTGGACGAGTTGTCCCGCTATCGCGAACCTGACGTTCTTTACACAGCTTGATCGATATACGGCCATTATTTTCGGCATGATCCTACTGTTACTTCATTTGCTCCTGTGATCCTTATCCGCTGCTCTTCTTCTGCATCATTCATACTGCTTATGGCGAAGAAACGTGAAAAACGGCGTACTTAGAGAAGTATAAAATTTCAAAAAATTGTAAAGTTAGGGGTGAGGACAAAAGCTGCATGGAAGGGGTCAATGGACGAGCTGTCCAAATGTGTGCGCCCTTTCGTACAGCTGGGTATAGTAAGCTGCCTGCGTGGCCGATGAGAACGCTGCGACCTTTACTAGCTCTACAACGCCGTGATAGCTCGTCCATCTTTGGGCTTGTACGTCGCCTGAGGCGTCTTTAGGGCCCCTATTACGTCCTATCTAAGCCAATTTTTACCCCTTAGCTTGTTATCGAAGGGTTGCTGGTTTATCTTGAAATCTCTCAGATACCATTCTTATCGAAAACTGTATTTTTATTCCGGCTAGCCAGTAGTACCTCGTTTTTTCTCTGATTCGACTTCATTTTTTTGTGGTGAATGCACTTAATTGTGAAGTGCTGTTCTGTTTATTCAGAAAAACGACTTTCTAGATTCATAAGTGGTCTGGCAGTTAGAAACCATAGTTTTTTACGCCTTATACTTCCCTAAATTGGCAATTCCAGTTGATGGATTGATAAGGTGTTTTGAAACGTTATACTTGTGAAAAGGTTTCCACGAAAAAACTTTATTTGGAACAGGTTTCAAAGAATACGTGATAAGGAGGATTACTCATGCGATGCAAATTAAATTCCGTTTATGAATGGTTGTTGGAGGAAGATGAGGGTGCCGTAGCGGAAAGATTTCCCTTAGGTGGTGTATGCTCGACACCTGAGGGTCTTCCTATTGCCAGACCTTGACCATTTTATATGAAAGTTCTAACACTGTGGCATATTTACACCGAATGCAGTGTCCAAAGTAATCTTACAGAGAATCTGCTAAACCGTTTCACGTAATATGTACATATATCAACAACCGATATTTATGGAACAATCGAGTTGAAATCCATCTTGAACAGATAGCTATTTTGATATCGATGAAACTTGGCCAAGGGTTGAAGAACTATGCTCTTGTCTATGGTCTGGGTCATAACCTCGGCGAGAACGACGTCGTGAGCGAAGGAGTGTAGCAGAACGATGCAAAAGCATCGCAGCAAGTAAGAAATACTGGATCAAAGGAAGTAACATACTTTATGCCATGGATGGGGTTCGTGTAAGGGATCTAGGCTTTCTCTATACCAGAACTCTCGACTTTTCCACGCACATTCGCGCTCAGTGTAAGCTAGCATTACTGCGCACGTAGCACATTTTTCGGGACTGTCTACCACGAACAATCAATACTTCACGCGTAAGATTCTTTTCCGATGTAGATGTGTTGATGTTTGATGTGTGCATGGCTCACAAACTATGGTACCAATGTGATGGTTTTGACGCCTTTGATGTTTATAACAAAACGCATTCTTGTACGAGAGGTGGGCAGACTAAGATTATTCTTCCTGTGCCTAGAACCAATTTACGTGCCACAAGCTTCACCTTCAGAGCTGGTAGTCTGTACTTAAAAGTAACAAAGAACCTGATCGTTTCCGAGGCTTTGAATACATTCAAGCGTAAAATGGCAGCGGTTCTAGCCAAGCATGAGCTTTCTTAGTTTTCTGAGATCGATCAAATAATTCCATACATGTGTCTTTATCTATATCTGGGTTGATGTTGCATTATGTGTTTTGTGGTTTCCGTCTTAGTTTGCTCTGTCCTCTGGTTTTATCTCTGTTTCGCATGGTCTATTATGCTGTTTTCAGAAGGTTGTATTTTACAGCGTCTGCCTTAGCAGCGTAATAAAC